CTCTCTCTCTCTCTCTCTCTCTCTCTCTCTCTCTCTCTCTCTCTCTCTCTCTCTCTCTCTCTCTCTCTCAACCTGCTTTATGCACTTGTCTTATGTCACTTATGTCAAATTCACTTGCGCAACAGTTTTATGATTAATATGTACTTTAGTTTGGAAATACCCTGGGCCAATGAAATTCCCAGCTCATGGAATTGATTTAGCTTTGAAATGAAAAATCAAAATTTAGAGCAAGGCATACGTAGTAGAAAAGTTGAGTAGAATGTGTGCAGATGTGATAAATGTGTTAGTTGTACCTAGGAAGATGTGATTTGAAATTTAAGCCGATGTGTTTTAGATCACTGGATGGTGAAGGGAACTTCAACTGGAGGTTTATATTTCCACTGGAATACCTACCTGCTGAGCAGGCCATGGTGCTCAGGCAGAAGGTATGTGTATATGCATATCTGTATGTATATCCATTTGTATGTGTGTCTGGGTGTGATTGCGGTAAAGTAGTATGTGTTTACAGATAGATTTAGTATTTTTTTAAGTAGCAGGATTGTCAGAAAAGTATGATGGTAGTGCAAGTTAATATTTGTTTTTAATCAGAAAATTTGTTATCCGTTTAGTATACTGTCTTAAGTAATGTTTATATTAATCATTGGTATATTGAAAATGATAAAGGATAAACTTCCAAATTAATGGAAAAAAAAATTATACTGTTTTATCAATCTTTTGTAGGAACACTTTTGGAGTCTGGACAAAACTGAGAAGCATGTGCCTCCAAAGCTGATGATCCAGATTTGGGATAATGACAAATTCTCTGCTGATGATTTCCTGGGTAGGCATATATCTCCTGTCACCAACTCAAACTTGTATTTAAAGATAACAGTCCTGTTTATTTGCCTGACATAACATCATTAATATGGGTTAAAAGTTATGGAATGCATTAATTCCTGTGTGCTAATTACGCTTGAATTTTATTCATTAGAATAGTTGGTGAAATGGAATGAAAGTCAACTAGTAATCCATTTTAAATGTGTTACATTTAGTATTGCCTAGATGGTGATCAGTTGTTAAATAATTTGCTGCCCTGGTGTTATTATGTGTTAGTAAATATGCTAGGTTAAATTTTAATCAATGTTGTATTGGACATTTTTTATCACCCTGAAAAGAATTGAGACCATTTCTTTTTGGATAGCCCAGTCACTACATAGTTAAATTTTTTATACTTTATAGATGCAAACAATGTAGGTTTACATCAATAGAAACACTGAGTGAGATAATTATTTAAATTTCTGTCTTCAGGCACCTTAGAGCTAGATCTGAACCGAATGCCCAAACCCACCAAGAGGTCTGGCTCCTGTTCACTGGATCAGCTGATTAGTGCCCCAACCATGTCACTATTTGAGGCAAAGAGGGCCTATGGGTACTGGCCTTGTTATGACACCACACCAGACGGGAAGAGGGAGCTTACTGTACGTTTCACTGGTTTTTGATAATATAATAGCAAATGTTTTATGTAATGATGACAAAAAGTGAATTCTTTCTGACACTGTTTTAACCCCTTCAAGGAAAATACTTTGTCTTTTAAAGACAATTACTCTATATCAACATAAGTTTCTTGTGTTACAATTTATTCATAGCAGGATACTCATAAAACAACTAAAAGTAAAAAATGTGTCGTATACATGTACTGTAAATGTGGAGAGTTGGCAACAGTATTATGGGCACTTCTGTAGTAAACATTTAGAGATTTATTTCAAACCCAGTCACATTTGCAATCTCCAGAATAGTGGATCACAAAAAATACACATTTTGACATACCAAATTAATCCCGCTCTTGACATGTTATTCTCTTCAGGGCAAGGTAGAGATGGAGGTGGAAATTGTCACAGAAGAAGAAGCCGACTTGAAGCCTGCTGGGAAGGGACAAGATGAGCCCAATATGAATCCTCATTTGGATCCACCAAAGTAAGTTTTAAAATCTATTTTAGGACTAAACATTATAGTCCCGTGGCCAGTTATTCCAAAAGGAGGGGGAGTCTTTTTCTGAAAAAAGTGGACCTTTGTGTATATTGTGTAAAATTTACCCAGGGCAGATCTTTTTAAAAAAATGGGCGTTTGTTTGAACCCACCAATTCCCATTGGCTACAGACCTGAATTATTTAATTAAATGACTCAAAATTGTTATTCGTGTGAAGTACTAGTGGGTGACTAATCTTTAGAGTATTAAGTTGGAGTAACTATGCACACAGCTGCTGCAGATAAAATTTTGACCCTCTTTCAGCATGCATAACCTAGAACATGGTGAAATTTATCCATTTTTTAAGAACCTCATGTTGATATATGACTGTGTGGTCCTGTCAGTCTTTAAGTACATTTTCAATTTAAGGCCATTATCGAGCTGTGATAACATAAAGCAAGTGTGTCAGTACATACACCATTCAAATCAATGAGGCTATCTATTGTATGCTTTTGTCAGGCATAGGCTCTTTAACTTTGTGATCTAACACTTGACATAAACCATTGCATGTTAACCAAATTTCTAACTATTTGAGATGGACTGAAAGTGCATCTGTATTCAGTAAAAATATTTGATCAACAAAAAAAGTAAATTGATTCTGAAGAGACTAATCATGCATTTTAACTTTGAGGCATGAGGTTTTGACCTTTCATTAGATATTTTACTCAATTGAAATATTGTTTCATTTCAGTCGCCCAGAGACCTCATTCTTGTGGTTTGCCTCACCGTGGAAGACACTCCGCTACATTGTGTGGAGGAACTACAAGTGGTACATCATTGGCGGACTGTTGCTGATCTTGTTACTTGTGCTCGTTATTCTGTTCATCTATTCAATCCCAGTAAGTTACTTAACCCATTATATATGAAACTGTCAAGTTATTAAGATCAAGTGTTGAAATAAAGGTTGTGGTTGTGAAGGAGAGATTTCACTTTTAGAAGAAGTCTTCTGTCGATGGCGATACTGTGTAAGTAAGTAAATAGATGCTCATAGGTTTTATACATATTTTTATATCAGACTTTCAATTAATTTAAGGAGATGAATGTAAGTTTTGATGTTTATGACTAATTCTTAAAACAGATATATTGATATTTTCATCATTTTATTTATGTAAAATACACTTTTTTGCTCTTCCAGGGTGTATCTGTAGAAAAGATCTTCGGGGTGAATGCCTAACTTAGAGAGAGAGAGAGAGAATAATTCCAATCTCTGTATGAACTATTAGAGAATGTCAATCATTTATTATATTATGCCAATTACCATATTATATGTTTATATATTGTTACCTTGGATATGGTATTAGAACTGTTTTTCAAATTAAAAAAAGTCATGATGAAGGACAGTGAAGTAGAGGCTATGAAGAAGATGGTCGTGTGCCTTACTCTTAGAGACACAAATATTATTAGTAAAAGATTCGAATCAATTGTAACCATGGATTTTGCTCAAAATGGATGTAGAATGTAAAAGTAATGTTATATTACTGCAAAATACAATTTTAAGTAATTAATGGAATATTTGTTATTTGGGGATATAGGTTTTGATGCAATTCATTGGTAGAAAAGAGTATTATTGTTAAAGAACAAATTTAAAGTTTTAGATTCTCTTTAACTTTTTTTATTTATGTTTTGGAATAATTATAATTTTTGCTAACAGATCTTTTCAAAAACAAAAATACAGCTGTGTGTCAGAACATCATATGAAAGATCTTGAACTTAGTGGGCCTATTTCAACTGCATGTTTTTTTATTTGATAACAGGGTATATAAATTATAACATATTCATTGTATGATATATTTCAATGAGCCAAATTGACAATGAGTATTGAAGAAAATCATTCAAGAAGTATTGTTTATTTGAAAATCGCAATTGCCTTGTGCAAAAATGCTGGTAATAACCGTATTTGCCAATACAGTGCAATATAACTGTCTCTTTCTGTGCGTTTTGCAATGAAGATCTTGACTAATTATACACTGTACTCATATTTGTCTTTCACTTGTTTTTGTTGTATTATGGTGTTAGTATTAATGATTTATTTCTACATAATTGTTTACACACATTTACCAGAACAAGGTCCAAAATTGAAGAACAAAACAATTTGTTATTATCGTTGTCAAAGCAATAAAAGTCAGCGTGTGATTTGATGAGTATGGCAGGTACATAAAATGTCTTACTGAAGTCTCCATATTTGAACATTCAGCAGAACTACAAGGTATGTTATTATGATATTTCATTAAATGTAAATGATTATTATTTTCTTTATGGTTAAACATTACTTTTTTCATATGAAAAAAATAGTAGTAATGAATAACGTTCATGCATGGAGAGAACTACGCGCAATCAGTATGATATTTCAGTTCAAAAATTTTTAGTAGGTGTGATTAATAGTGGATTTTCCCAATACTGAATTCGTGCATGGATGAGTGCTACTGGACAGAGTTGTACGCAGTCACCCCTCATCCCGTGACTGATGAGATCGGTGAAGAAAGTTGACAGTTACTTTCCGTCTCTTTACCGTGACCACTTCTGAATCACAGAGAGTAAAATTTCAATGTGTGGGAAAATATATAGGTTTACCCGGAGGAACAATAGTGTTTGAAACAGAAATTAACAGCATGAATACGTTTATAAGGAATTGTATTTTTTTCTAGACACTTGGTAACAATAAAACGCGCAGTTCTACTCGCACATTTTCTAGTCTCTGTCTTGCGTTTCTTCAAATAGCATAAAGAAGTCGAACAAATGCGTGATTGAATTAGCTTTACCTTGATTTGAGCCCTTATCCAAGAAGATTAATCGGAAATGGTTTTGGTTTTTGTTACGTAACGGATGAGATGTGCTATTAGACATACTAGTATGCACGCTGACCAGTTCAAACGAGGTGGACATGGACGTAATCTACGAGACAAAGGAAAACGATTAATAAACATTTAAACTGTGTGTGTCATGCTGACAGTTGATGTGGTTATGATTTTACTATGAGTTATGATATTTCTAAAAATGTCTTCATGTGACTGTGTGTTGAGCGTCTGTATCAATTTGATTAAATGTTTCACTTCGATTTGACAGCAAGAGTACATCGTTTAAAAACCCGAAACCGCCTAAACAACTTCAGTTTATAGATAAACAAAAATCCAAATTAGGTTAACCACGATTACCTAGGTCGAGTCGTGCGGCTTTTCCTACTGGAATATTTTAACGTTTCAATTTCACTTCAAAACTAAAAAGCATGACTGAGTGCCTTTTTTGTGGCAACTTGTTTATCATCGTTTACAAACGTCATAGGCATTCTTCTGGTCTTTATTTCATGCGTGTTTAATTTGTGGCTGACGAGAAACATTTTTGTTGTAATTGTTTTCACAGTTGATGGCAAGCATCGCGAGGAATGCACCCCATGGTTGGTGTTATAATGGACATATTGCAGCAATCCCGATATTTTGATGCGCTACACTTTTTACGATACTCCCTTTCTTCAATTTCAAATAATAATAATAATTATTATAATAATGAGGTTTTAAAAGCTGTTATGTAACGACGAAAAGGGATTTTGTACTATTGGAATCATTATAGATTGGGCCATTGAAAAATAAACTAATTAAAGGAGAAATAAAAAGAGTGGCATTTTTAGTTAAATAGTTTCTCTTTCAAAATGCCCATTTCAATACATTTTATTTTGCGTGCGTGTGTGTGTTTGTGTGTGTAAGCTGACTGACGCAAATGAGCCTTTGTTAGATGGTCACTTTATTAAGAAAGATGTCCGTCTAAAATTAATCACACAACTGAGAAATGGCACTTAAACCAGGCCGGCTCCTAAAATTTTAAACAGGACGACCACCAGCGTTAGATGTTTGAAAATAGACAGAAGATGTAAACCACAATATCATAAAGCGTTTCAGACATCGTGCCAACGTGATGACACAAAACATCTTGTTCATTTCAGTCTTCCCTTGTTCATTTCAGTCTCCGACGGTTCTTCCCGAAATGGACACAGTCACGCTTCTTTCTGTCTCAGAAAGATGAGTAATGGCTCGTTTTCTTCCGGTCATATTCGTTGCCATTTGCAGGAACTGAATCAGAACGAACGCTCCTATAAATGTGAAAGATTCCAGTGTTTGAACTCATTAGGATAATAAACTTCGAACAGTGAAGATCAGCTCATTTGGTTTTCTGTTTTATAACTACAATATCTTCAAGCTCGGGCTAATCTGACATTTTTGACGTCGAAAGATCTGCTAAACTACCAGAAGTAATCTCTAGGAGGTAAATTGAGGAATTTCAGACCTCCCGTTTGTAAGAAAGAATTTACAGGGCTGTTGAGGCACCTGCCAATATTTCTTAGCATAACTTATTCGATAATTACAGTGCATTTCACCTGACATTGAGTGTCTGTATCAATTCAAACAGGATTGTATATTCGACAAATATTCTGCGAGAGAGTTGCCGTTCAGGATTAGGGTCGGGTTATATAATTGTTCGAAATCTGAGCGGAAGAAGTGAGATCTCAAGAGATCTATACTCAGGTGAAAAGTACAGATTACACAACGACCCCAGGTAAACGGAGAAGAGCGACTACTTTCTACGCAGGAAGATGGAGGGCGGATTTTTCTTTAAAATGTTCATGGTAAGTTTGTTCAACAACGGTATATTAGTAAAATATTCTTTTTCATATTCCAGTGCTAATTTCGAGTTATTATTAGAATATGTTATTAAATATAATGAGTAGTTATTTAATAATGAATACAGTGAATACATTCGGAATTCCTATCCTATGTAAAAAGCAAAGTAAGGGCCTTATTCCAAGGAATATTTTAAAATTGTATTAATGAATGTTTTTTTTTTAATTATTCGCTACTTTTCTCATTTGTAATTTTGCAGCCTGCAGTAATATAAAGCATTTTTTCCTTCTCTTTCCAGATGGTTGTTACTATCAAATCTGTTTTCAGTGCAGGTAAGTGATTAAGTAATTTAAATCTTTAGAATTGTTTCTGGAATCATTCTTTGCAGTTTCATTCAACTTCTTTAAAAGATATCCCGTGACATAAAGCATTGTGATTATCGTCCATTTTAACAGTTTATTTATCATTGATGTTGTATTTATTTATTTATTTATTTATTTATTTATTTACGCAAAGACACCATATCTGTGCACGACTTACCGCAAATAATTCACCATCCCACTTTTTACCGAAACTTATCACTTCCAACATTTGGTGAACCACACGTTTTACTCTATCCTGTTCCTTTCCAGTGCCCTACTCCAACCCAAGAAGGGGAGATATCGGAATCGACTGGCTCCACGTCTCAACTTCCACAGGGTTCCAGTGTTACAAACCGCTGGATGTGGTGTTCCTTTTGGACTCGTCCCGTGCCTTTCAAGGTCACCGGTGGAACAAACTCGTCGATTTCACATACAGACTGACTGAGAGATTTCCTTTGGGTCGCCGCAGTGTTCGAGTCGGTGTCCTGGCTTACGAAACGTCCCCGCATGCAGTGATTCCCCTCAACACCACCACGAAACAAATTCTGGATAGTATTTCGTCCTTGCGTTATACGCAAACTGTGAAGACGAAGCTCAGGGCGGATATTGCTGGTGGTATCGACTACATGAAAGAGGTTTTCTTCTCAACTGATGAACGCTACGAGGCCACCAGAGTTGGAGTGGTCGTTTCCGACTATGATTCATTGGCGAATCAATCTGTCCCCCTAGCAATTAGAAGAGCTACGGCAGCTGGTATTAACGTCTTGCCTATTGGAATTCGTTCGTCTCAGTCAACTTTGGAGCTCTCTGGTAGTTTCTATGGAGAGAATTCAATCCAGCTGGGGAGTGTTAATGATCTTGACAGCATCACAGATACAGTTAAAAGAAAGACTTGTCAAGGTGTGTTTTTATTGCTTTGTTTTATTAAATATATTGTTTTTTCTTTTTGTTTTTGTTTAAAGCATGGAATTTGAATGGGTTATAGAATACTATGTGTTTTCATTTAGGGCCTACACGTATTTTCAAGCTTCTTTTTCACTCCCAATATTTTCAAAGTTGTTTGTGTAAATAATGACTTCTAACTTTAAGCAAAATTTGTATTTGCTTGAAAAAACTATCTACCTGTTTACCTGTTTATTTGAACAGATATGCGCAACTGTTTTGATTATAATAATAAACTCGTATTTCTTTCTTTATTATTTGTAGCTCCTAACCT